GAGAGGCGCCTTTAAATAAAATATATTATTATTATTATTATTATTATTATTCAGAGTAACATACCTTTGCCTAACACATTCATAAGGCACATTTTCAGGGGACCCCTGATGAGATTTTACTTAAAAATATCAGTATCAAAACATGAATTAAGAGGTACAACATATAGATACTAGAAGCTAAGTTTAAAAAAAATGAGCAGCATATAAATCTGCTGTCTGGCTGTTAGGCTGCAAACTTTACTACTGAATCCATGGTGAAACTTTCCAAAAAAAATAATAAAGTCGACTGCTACCAACAAACAGTCCAGAGCACAGTTTATCAAGTAGTTACCTGTGCATATCTGCATACTGCTGCCTCAAACAATAGGAGCTGTGCATGAACACGAACATGGATAAAGCTGCACAAACAAACGCTTACTTACCGGGCTGTTATTTGACAGAAAATGATGGTTTATTTCGACCAACAACTTACTCACATATGACGTAAAATCACTGGACACACTTACCCGGTTCTTGGTGCTGGGAGTCGCAAGAGGGCTGGACACGTATAAAAAAAAAGAAAGTAAAAGAAAGAAACTGAGACACACAGCCGCCTTTTTGAGCCAAAAACAGATTAGTTACCGAGCCGGTGAGAAAACAGCGAGCCGTTGTTAAGCTCAGTCGAGCAGGAGGATGCATAAAGGAGAGGAAAAAACACACACACACACACACACTTAACACAAACTGGGCCCGGCTCGGGCCCGCATTACATTAAAGAAGTTGTTTCCGGAACGGCTCCTGCCTGGTCTCTCGCTCGGGACTCAATCTCACGGCTTGTTGCCCGGTTTAGTAAAGGACGTCACTCCCCCAGTCGCTCCTCGTGACGCCAGGGCGACGCGAGCCCTTCCTGTTTTCTCTCGTGCATTGTGTGTTGTGGTGTGTGTGTGTGTGTTGTGGTGTGTGTGTGTGTGTGTGTGTTTGTGTGTCCCATTCATGTTGTGGTTTTAAAGGAGCATTTCCCACAAAACAACACACACTCACACGCGGAGGGTGGAATACATTTGGAAGTAGAATGAAACCCCCCGTTTTAGGCACTTGTTCCCACATGTCTTTGTTGTTTTTGTAGGCTCGTTGGTCTTACCCCGTTGTAGCTTCCATGTACGAGGGAGCTCCTATATAAACTATCACATATTTCAAATTATTTATGTATTTATAATTAAAGTCAATAAATCAGTCAGTGTATGGTGTTTGGTTCCCAGCATGTGATATGACGTTTGCTCCTCCATAAAGGTTGGGGGACTAAGTGGTGGAATGTAACTAAGTAACTGAAATCACTGTACTTGTAATTGAGATACTTGAGTATGTTCTTCCCACGCTACTTCCTTCTTTTCAGGTTTGACTATTGATTGGACAAAGCCAACATTGTGAAGGCCTAGTCTGGGTCACTTGTGACGGTGTTTTCTACAAGACCAAAACAATCAATCAATTAATGGAGAAAATAATCAGCAGATTACTCCATGATAAAAGTAATCATTAGTTGCAGTCCTATCCAAAATAGCTCAAAATGAGGCAAATCTACTATAAAATCCTGCTTTAACATTAATTTATGAGTAATAATAATCTAATGGTTTAAAATATAATAGTATTACAGTCAGATGGGCCATTTTTCTGCACTTAGTACTTTTACTTTTACTCTTAATAGAGTATTTTTACTTTTATATTCAAGTAAATGATCTAAATATTTACTCCACCACAGCTCACAAGTGGTAAAAATTACTGTCCCCATGAGCCAAGCTCCCAGAAGCAGGATTTCCCATAATGCATCTCAGACTTGACAAAGCTGTTCCAGATCTATTCAACATTTCTTACTGGCTGTGTGATACCCACAATTCACTGGTCTTCATGTGTAAAATCAATGCATCTAATCTCTAAGGTTAAGAGACTCTGCCAGTCAGACAAGTCATATTGATGATATGTTGCAACAACCCTACATTGAAACGCATTAATGCAGGTAAGGACGTGTCTGAGCTGAAACGCTGTAATGTTGACGCTATTTGGTAAGATGAGATAATGCTACCTAGGCCACATCACTGTCTGAGTGTCAGTCATAAACAAAGTCCATTCATAGTGAACGCTCAGATTGTTGACTCAGTTCAGTGTTTATCATTTATATACAGTCTATGGTGGTCTATTCTGAGTGTCCTGGTAAATATTTCCTTAATGAGTATAAGCAGTATGTTTGAAATGATGTAAATTGGGAATATCTGTGTGAACAGTCAGAGACAGTGTGACACACAGACACAGATGCCTGCTCATACCTTAGTGTGCTTAGCCAAGGTGTGGCCCCCTTTATATGAAATTTTGACTCAACAAGCATGACTCCACTTTATAGGCCTACAAAGAATTTGGGTTGTGATATGAAGACAGTGACATCTAGTGGAGAAGCGATTTACTACATTTTTGTTGTAAACTGTAATATGAATAATGTATTTAACAATAAACAGTAGGTATGTCTAAAGGTTCAAATGTATCACAGAAAAGTGTCATATAAACCATAAAAACATCAAGCTATGTGCATATGTGTGAAAATATTTGACTTGGGTAAACACCTGCTTATGCTGGAACATGTACTGAATGCATACATAGTACACACATACTTATTATAATATAAGAGACAGAACAAAATAACTCATTCCAGGTGGATTGTTTCTATGTTATTAGGAACCCTTAAAAAAAATTATCTTTATGATTCTGTCTTTTCTTCAGTTAAGGGTTTCTCTGACAAATTACCTGAAAGATAGGCTACAGAAAATGTGTTATTTGGGCAAGAAATTATTAAAGGTAATTAATTTACTTGCCCAGTAAGTAAGGTTAAATGTTATGTTAATGTGTAAAATGAAGTAGACCTAGACAATGTTGGATTTACCTTCTTGGGGTATAAAATGAGCTGTGGGCCTCTATTGATCCCAGTTTGTGGCCATTATTAAACACCATTGTGGACCTATTAGGGGGGCATTCCAGGTACGCTAACATTCAAACTGTTGGAGCATTAAATTGGACCATTGAAAATAATCATTTACTAGATTAATGCAAAATCTGCAAGTATTTATTTTTGTCACACCTATGCTCAATTTTTCCTTATTTCTAGTTCTAGCTTGTTTTACTTTTGTGAATCCAAAAATAAAGCCAGTTGTTTATCTCAAATGTGGAGATACTACAGAACATATATATAATATCTAGATATATACAAATAAAAATATATAAATCAAATGTTTAAAACACCCACCGAGATTTCATGAATGTTTTCCATCGCACTGTCATGCGATGGAAAACAAAGAGTCTTTATATGCAAGAGAGATATTTTCCTTGCGTTTGAGCTTCAGCGACCAGCTAAAGTAAAAAAAACATTATTTTGCCAACCATGTAATGGATGTGGGAGCACCATCACATTTTAACATTATAAATTACAACTTTCATTAATTAGACTATTCTAAATATAGCACTGCAGTGATTCTGTCACGGGTAAATGCTCCAGGAAGCCGTCGACTGTCGAAGAAAGCGGAAGTGGTAACAGGGAAGTGTTTCATTCCGGAAGTGTGTCTTTGCTTCATCGAGCAAGTTCCTGGGCCATCAAAACAAACACACAGACACACAAACACAGATACAGACAGACACAGAGCAGCTAATGTCAGGGAAAGCTAGCTGTTGCTGTTAGATATCTCACTGCTGTTTCACCATGCTACTGAAGTCATGTTGCATTTACAGCATCGGGGTTTGTTCTGTACTGACGCTGATCCTTGGCATTTCTCTGGTTTTGTCTAACGTGTTCCCACATTTTGTACAGTCGCTGGTTAAAAAGGTAAGTCACTTTAATTCAGGCTAACGTTTGTGTAACAGATAATAAGATACTCGCTGAATAAGCTAAGCTAAAGTTAGCTATAGCTTGATTTGGCAAAAGCTCGGAGGGTATGTCTAGTTTCTATTTCGCTCCTGAGTTTCATCATGCAGCCTCATACTTTAAATGTTTTACTAGTGACTCACATGTAGGAATGTATGCTAATTTAAAGTGACAATTGTATTAACCAACTATTTAGTTAGTTTATCATGTTTTTAGCTGGTTTTTTTTTGGTTTATTATATTATGTTTTACATGTTAAAATCACTTGGATATCTGCCATAATATTCACACTTATTTTAATCTATTCCTGCGTTGTGATAGCCCCCCCCCCATACACCTCATTGGCCTACTTTTAATGTGAAATAAATGGCATATCATGACAGATAATCCAAATGATGATTTCCCCCCTTCAGCAGGTTTACAGCAATGGTGTAATTGTCATATGATGTGAGGACAGCTTAGTCACCAGCAGACTTCTTTGTCACACATTTTCTCAACTGTGCAGGGCGAGTTAACCCACTGCCCTTTATCCCCCCTCCCTATAGGAAGTAGTTCTGAAGAATGGCACCGAGGCGTTTGAGGCCTGGGAGAATCCACCGGCCCCTATTTACATGCAGTTTTACTTCTTTAATGTGACCAATCCCCTGGAGGTGCTGGATGGAGAAAGGCCTGCTGTGGTGGAGATTGGACCGTATACATACAGGTGAGAGAGGAATACGGGGAAGACTTGACTCTTGTTTCATCTGTTCTATAAAACAGAAGTGCAGATCTCACAGTAAAACGGAAAAAAAACCAGTTGCACAGATCTAAAGGAGGGAGGCACAACAGCAATTTGCTTTTGAGACGCCCTCTCCTGAGCTATTAACGTCATATACAAAAATAAAATCAAACTGAAGATGCCACTTGCAGTTCTACTACTATTTTTAGGGTGAGGACAAAGCTCGCCGAACATGTTGCAGTTTCGCATTTACGCGTCTGTCATCCCTCAAGGAAGAAAGGTGCCAAAAAGCTGATGATTAGATAAACAGGAAAACAAAACAGAGGTGCACATGAAAGCCCAGCATGCACAAGCAATATATTCTACACTGTATGACAAATGTTTTCATTGATAAAGATTAATAAGTTCACAAAGCTATCAATTATCTACTATCAAGAATTGTTCAAATGGATTGATTTAATGATAATGGCCATTCCCTGAACGCACTAAAGCTGCAACACAGATTCAATAGTGGTTTAAAATATGTTATAATATGTTATAAATATATCATAATATGCAATTCGTCTGTCCAGGCTTTCACATGTTTTGTGCATTTTGTTGTAAGACAAAGTGCTTACTGTTATTAGTGGACAGACAATACTTGTGTTTCTGACATTACCAATTTAATGTCTTCTCAGAAATGACAGTGACAGCTTGCAGAGACAGGAGCAGACAGATATTGGCGCAGTCCTGTCTCTGGCTAGCTTGAGGCAGCTTGTTTGCTTCTCCACTTTAAGCACTGACACGGTGGCTTTGTACGGCAGCCAGTTTGTCTCACCAGGAAATAAGAATTACATTCTTACAACAAATATTTATATTTTTCTTTGCTTCTTCCTTCTGTGTAGAACAGATGAGAACCGCCTTTTTTGGAAAGAGTTTCATTTTTCCAGATTGTCAGTGAATGCAACATAGTAGCTGTCACCATTGCTTAATACATTTAGTTGAGTCACAAACAGAAATAAGTTTATAATAAACCCTTTCTTCCTGTATTATACTAGAGTTAGCCATTCTCTGGAGTCTGAGGTTGTGTACATAAAACTACATATACTGTACCTGATAAGGAAATATATGATCATCCTATATTCACATATTCGACAGATGCACTGTAACAAGGAACTGCCAACAGTTAGCTTCCTTCAACCTGAACCCAGTTGTTATGTTTTTCTACACAGAGAGTACCGGCCTATGGAGCAAGTGGACTTCCAGGATAATGGTACAAAGGTGACAGCTGTCAACACGAAGACGTACATATTCCAGCGTAACATGTCCCGAGGTCCAGAGAGTGACCTCATCAGGACGGTCAACATCCCTGCTGTGGTGAGTTATTAGTGATGTTTGGTCGTACAATATTATGTGGGAGTTGTTGTTTACATGTTTCTCAAAGCAGCTATGAGGAACTTTGATTTTGTATTGATTCTGGCGGCCCCTGTGGACAAAAGCGGTAGTGTTTCTACTTTCTACTCCTTTCATCTGAGTCGAGGGGAATTCGACCCAGTGGCAGGCATTAAGAATAACTATAAAGAAATAGTCAGTCTTCTGATTTGTAGGTCATATGGAGGCAACAGTAATAAATAAAGTTTCATAAACAGTTTGTAGCACGTTTAAGTAAATTACTCCTTCTATTATGTCTTCTTCTTTATGGAACTTATGCAGTTCAGTGCTTTACACAAGTTGTCTTTAACAAGATCCTTTTCATTCTTTTATCCTGGTAGACTGTGATGGAGCAATTCAAGGACCATTCCATTATCGCCAATCTGATCTCTTCCTACATGAAGTCCACAGGTGAAGGCTTGCTCACCACCCACACAGTGGGAGAGCTGCTGTGGGGATATGAAGACGGTCTGCTCAAAGCCCTCAAACTTTTACAACCTGACCTGGATGATGTTTTCGGACTCTTCTATAAGGTCTCATTTAAGCATAAATGCATTATTGTATAATTTGAACGGACTACAGTGTGTTTATTCATAAAAAGGTACAAAAGATTTCATATAACTGCTCAGAAACTTTATTAGAATCTTAGAAAAATAAAAGTTTCTGATTAATCATAAATGGTTAACTGGACTGACTATTCCCTTGTGGTTTTTTCGGCTTTGTAGTGTAAAAAATAAAACTTTTTTTCTTACAGAACAATGCTTCCAACGATGGTGAATACGTGTTCTTCACTGGCCAGCAAAACTACAAAGACTTTGCTAGAGTGGATACATGGAATGGTGAGAGGTAATTGTCTCCAATCACCTACAGCACAAAATGACAGTGACTGAAAGAGAATTATCTCTTGCTCTGTAAATCCAGTCAGGGATGATCATTGGTTACGTGCAATTTGAATGGGTGAGAGTTGGATAACGTGTGATTGTATCAGTACGACACAGGAACATGATCAAGGCTGGTTTCATCCTGCTTGATATGGCACTCCCTCTCTCTTTGATCACAGCCATTCATGTCAAAAAGCCAAACTAATGTTAATCCTCTTATTTGCCCTCGGAGATGCTCTTTCATCATTTTCTCTCTTTTAAGTGTTTCAGACTCTTCTGTTATAATGTTGATAATGCTGCACTTTTAGGTGTAGTTTTGGGAAATACACAAATTTGAGATTTGGATTAGAAGATCGATACCACCCTCATTTCTGTCAGTTAAATATGACGCTACAGCCAGGAGACGATTAGCTTAGCATAGCGCAAAGACCAAAGTGTCACACTTTTCCGTAAACACACAAAGGACTGCTGTTCTGTGAAAGCAGCTTTAGCCAAGCTTTTCCTGACCTACAAACATTTTCAGTCTTGATCTACTGCACTTTTAAAACATTTGCATTTTTTGCCTAATCGCTAATTCACAGTCCTTTAATCAAGCTGATAAATGACAAGCATTAAAAAAACATTTAGAATCTTATTTTCTGTGTGTATGCTTGCAGCTCGCTGAGTTGGTGGACATCTGATGAGTGCAATATGATCAATGGAACTAACGGAGGGTCTTTCCATCCAGTCATCACCAAGAATGAGACACTCTACATGTTCTCCTCTGACCTGTGCAGGTGAGTTTTACAGCCGGCTAAGGACCACGTCCATAAATGTGACTGGGCATGCACCAAGTAATTATACATACACATATACATATACATATACATATGTTCTTACATACACTAGTGTTAAACATCCGATTGAACCTTCACATTTGACCCATGAACTCATTTGGGATTTCTTTCTTTCTCCTTCTCTCTTCTTTCTTTCTTTCATTGAAAACTTCAGTAGCTGAAAAAGAAAAGTCCCTTTAAGCTGATGTGGATTTCGTTTTTATTTTCACTTTTATTTATTTCGAATGTAGCTTGAGTAGGAGACAGTTTTGTACACTTCAATGAATTTAGTGAGCACAAACTCTTCAGCTTTAGGTAATATGAAGTTGATTTAAATTTCTGCATGCTCTTTTGTTTGTTCATTTTATTTTTTTTTCTGGTCTTATCTGCCTGGCTTGAGTTGGCTAGTGAAATGGCTCAGTCATCCTAAGAATGTCTCCCTAAGCCTTTCCCTTAGCGTTATTCATGTCTACATACTGGATTAGGGATACCAATTTAGCCTGGCTGGTCGGTGTTGGCCTCTGTTAGCTTACTACCTATTTAGTGCTGCTCAAAACAACTAATAGCAGCTCTTTTTGACTGTTAATGCATCCGAACTGAGAGTGCAGCATATGCAGGTCAGCTAACTACCGAGGTTGTTGTGAGAAGACTGCCAAGGTTTTCGAGGCAGTTACATGTCAGAGACCAGAACTTTTGGTTTTCTGTAAATCAGCTTACCACAGAGCTCATGTACAAAATTCCCTCTTTTGTTGCACGGCTCTACGGAATGTATTTGTGCCTGCAACGATTAACCAGCACCTGGCTCTGTTTCCAAGGTCTCTGTACGCTCTGTACGAGGAGGATGTGACCGTGAAGGGGATCCCTGGGTATCGCTTCAGTCCCCCTAGCATGGTGTTTGCCAATGCGACCGTGAACCCAGCCAATGCAGGCTTCTGTGTCCCTGCTGAAAATTGCCTGGGCTCTGGGGTGCTGAATGTCAGCCCATGTAAACAAGGTGGGAAGTGCGTTAAGCATCTGGTCTGTATTGGAAAAAATCACGTCACATAGGCAAATGTGAAATGCAGTCTTGGATGTTTCCTATAATACCCATATAAATTTCATAATGTTCTAACTGAATCTCTTGTGTGTTCAGGAGCTCCGATCATTATGTCCTCACCACACTTCTACCAGGCAGATGAGAAATTCATTCAGGATGTATTTGGCATGAAGCCTATAAAGGAGCAGCACCAGACTGTGATTGATATCAATCCGGTAGGAATTTCAGCTTTAAAAAACCCCTCTAGACCCGTTTTAAGACATATAAACATACTCCACTTGGAATAATATTTGTGTCTGGTATATTTCTTCCCTCAGAAAAAGTTAAATTAGGTTAAGATGTACTTTGTGAACATGTTGTAAGCCTTTCTTTACTTTATGCCCACTCTTTGTTAGTGTAATTCTTTTTCCCATGTAGAAAAATAAGTTGCAATAAAGAGCTGATATGAAATCCTGAGGTGATACTTATGTTTACCACTAGGTGGTGAACTCTCTCAGCTAGACAGTGGTTACCCACAAAGCAGTGCTTCTTCTTTTTTTTTTTTTTTAAACCGTGGTAAAAAAATTAAAGCAGAGGTGGATGGAACGGAGCTGTCACCAAAGATAAGCTCTAACAGCTCTTATCACATGTAATGCTGTAATAACTTGGCTGTAGTAAATCCTTGATAAAGGAAATCAGACTGAAAAAAACACTTACAGGAGCACAATGTGTCTGGACATCTGTTCATCCTTGTACATACATTAAAATATAATTGTAATCCCTTAAAGATGTTGAAGTAAGGTCAGTATTTGAATATAGCTGACCGATATGGGTTTTTTGAGACTGAGACAGATACCGATGTTAGAGGAAAAAATATTCTCCAATTACCGATATGGCAGCCAATATAGTGAATGTTTGAGCTGGAATGAAAATTTCGAAGATTTTTGCATCAATATGACTATATAAATATATTCAGAATGCTGCTTTTTTTTTTTTAAACAAATAGCTGTATTAAAGAACATGTTAAATAATTAAATATAATTATAATTAATATAGGCTACATTGTCAGCCAATTCTAGAAATGAGCACTGAGAAAATAATACAAATAAAACAAATAGCTAAACATAAGAACTGGAAAAACTACAAGCCAAAACTGTTTTCATATCTGCACATATTGGATGACATATATGATACTGATATGTCTGTGGCTATAGTGAAGAGACAATTACAGAACATAACAAAACAAAAAGATATTGCTGACAACAGTATTTGACGGATAAAAATAAGGAAACAAGTCCTGGAAATGACTTTGTAAAGGTCCACCTATCAAAGGTTTTTTGAACAGTTGTAAAATAGCTGATAAATTGCAGATAATGATTAGCCCTTTTTTTCTGGTCCTGAATATGACACTGATTTGAGCAGATGAAGTACAGTGACATCAACAATTAATAAGTAAATAAGTCAAGATCTAATTATAAGACAGAGTTCTGTTTGAGTCTTTCTTCTGATTGGTATCTTTCTTTGGCTTTTGGATTTTTCTTTGACTTTATTTTACGCCTCTTTTCTTGCTGCAGTCCATTTTAGAGGTCTGCGTTGATACAATTTGGATCTAGTAAACAGAAGCTAACCCAGCGTGCATCTGTAACACGTACACTTAACTTTCATTCTTAGTCACGTCCACCTTGTTAACACTTACGTGTTAGGTGGTGGCATTGTGAGTTGAAATCAGTCTTTGAAACCAGTAAACAAGCTACTGTTTTATCTGTTTATACTCCATCCTATACAGTAATCGTCACTGTGCCACTGCATGAGATTATTGAGATTGATCAAAGTCCTGCGACTTCTGTCATAAATATTGGGTTGTGGTGCCCTGCACAACACTGTAAACCACTGTTGCCGCCAGATTCAGGGCTGTGATTTCCCCTAGAGCCCATAAAGATGCATGCAGATACATCTTTGTTCCAAAATTCACTAGTGTATATGGAGTATGTGTGGGTTGCTGTGTTATCTCTCAGATCTTTTCTGCCAACCAGTCATAAAGTACATTTACTGAAAAATGTTTGCAGCATAGAGATGATAATACATAGTGTCTTGAAAAACATGTGGTATTGGTGCTGAATATGGTATAATGAGGCATAAATGTTCACAGAGATCAGCGCTCTTAAGTTCCTCTTAAACTATGTGTTTCCCAACAACTTTTAACTCTGTTTTTTCAGCTAACAGGAATCATCCTGCAAGCAGCAAAGCGGCTCCAGGTCAACGTCTATGTGGAGAAAATTCCCACCTTCAGGTAATCGTCTCATTGCCTTTATCACTCTCTAAATATTCTCTATATTCTGCACCTTTTTGTCATAAACTGGGATGTCACCATATAGGCTTTAATGAAGCTGCAGTCTAGTCAGTCTAGGTAGGGTTACCCGTAAGATAACTGTAAGGCAATTATGCCACCATCATCTTTATGGATGGACTTTTGGACAGTCGCGGCTTACTTGTTATGTATCTACTTGGCATCTGAAGGAACAAATATAATCTTGAGTCCAGACTGTACAGGTATACATGTTGTCCACAAACTATATGTGGACAAACTGAATAGAACATTTTCAGAATGTCTCTTTGCCATTGACTCATCAAGTCATAGGCGAATGTTCAGATCACTATCAGATTGTGATACTTCCGATAGTAGGTGAAATAGTGTGATTCATTTTCTTTTTTCTTCAGTCAAACAGGAAACGTGAGGACAGTGGTCTTCCCTGTGGTTTATCTCAATGAGGTACAAAAACACACCGTTTGGTAATTCAGTCATGTACTGAGCATTGGTTGGCACAGGGATCATAAACTCCCATCAGCAATCCAAATGAATGCCACATTCAAAGGGCAACACGTTCCAGTCACGTTGTTCACACTTGGTTCATCCATCTGTCTGTCTGTATCATGTCTCGTTCATAATATCACAGACATCATGAACACGATTTCAAAATGATACCTCTCATACCTGTGTACTTAGTTGAAACCAGTTTTTCAGTAAAAGCGTGAACTTTAATCAGAACTAAGTACTTACTTTGGACATTTTTGTACCACTGAACTGATAGCATTGGAACATTTTATTTTAAAAGCCATCTGCAGTATATTAAGTTTGAATTCTCCTCTCTGAATATCAAGTTTTGTCATTTCAAAAACTAGATTTATTTTTCAGGTTTACAGATTTACAGGTCATCTTAATCTGTCAACCCTAAAAACCCTTGTACAGGGTTCAAAGGTTTTATTCACGTTGGCACTTGTTATGGCAACGTTTTTTGGAAACACTTTTCCATCTCTTGTCATTAAATGCTTGCACATGCCACAGCAGACTGCAGGGGAAATACGGGTTACCCTACCCAACTCTGCAAGGGCTCCATAAAGCAGGACCACAGCATAAAATAAAGTTAAATAAATACAGAAAGTCCCCATGGAAGAATGCAAGAATGAAGAAATGCAAGAATGAGAAAAAAGATCGACAATAAAACAGTGATGATACTTAAATAAAATAAAATTGTGAGTAATGGTGATGGCTAGTGGAAGCATTTCACTCTGCTACTCAACTAGCTACTTGATGTCATGAGCGAAATCACTCAAATAGAGCCATTGTGAACTTAAAAATAGACACTGAAGAAGGGCATCTTGCCCGAAAAGGTCAGTGTGGCAAAATTATAAAAGTTGAACGGAAGTCCTGTCCTAGTTCTTTGCTCATTAAATTATTTCCAGGCCACACAGACTAAGAATTAAATGGAAATTTAATAGTAGCCTATTTTATTTCAATAAACCCAACTCTCGATTTAAACAAGATTTCTGGATCACTGATTTGCTGTAACATTTTTAAGGGTACAATTATGTACCCCTTTCTGTCAGCCATGATTTTGTACATTTAAAATTAAACAAAGGTCCACAATAATCACCTTAAGGACCTTTTTCTTTACCTTACAGGGTACTTTTTTGATTAAATGATACCCCTATTTCTCAGTGTGCCCTATCCTGTCCATCTCTCAAACTGTCCGTTCTATTAAACAGAAAAATATAGTGTATAGACATAGACTAGCACAATAATAAGTGTAGTAGTAGTACTTAGTAATAAGTATAATGTTTAATGTAACTGTACCTCTAATTGCACTCTCTCTCCATCTTCTCAGAGCGTTGTCATTGACGACGCCTCAGCCCTGAAGCTGCATGCGATTGTTGTCAAGCAGAATGTCGTGGTGAACATCCCGTTCATGCTGATTGGTGTCGGCATCATTCTGGGAGGAATCTTCATGTTCCTAATGTGTCGACAAAAGATTCCCGAGGTGAGCTGAGATAGACATTAATCAGGTTGTTTAGTCATTAGACGATTATTTTCATTATTGATGAATCTGTTGATTGTGTTTTTCTTTAATCAATTCATTGTTTAGTCTATGAAATGAAAAAGGTCTTGTTGTCTGACTAACAGTCCAACATCCAAAGATATTCACAATAAAACCATGTAAAACCATCACGTTTAAAAAACAGGACCTTTAATGATATAATGGCAAATTAACAAGGCCAATGTTAATATTAGATATGTATTATTGTAAATAAAACAGTTATGTATGTCACGTCAGTGAATAGACTGTCTTTATGTAACTTTTCGTGTCTGGTTGCGTTTTTCAGAGCACTCCTGCTGAGCGACAGCCCCTGCTCTCATCATAGCACCAAACAGGATGTGAAAGGAGGAGGATTGCCACATACGCAGTATAATTCAACAGTTCATGGAATGGTTCAGTCCATCTGCAGTTTGTACCGTTAACCTCCAAGTAACCTGAATTTCACCTTTTAATGTTTTTTTTTTTTTTTTAAATCTAGGGTATTTCTCTTTTAACTTCTAAATATGGGATTTTTGATTCAAACAACGTAAATTGAGTAATTTAAAATCTCCTAACAAATCTAATTTGAATTGTCCGGAGAGTCAGCTCTGAACTGATCAAACCTCAAAGAATTCAAATGAAAAAATGTCATAATAATCTTAACTGCCAAAATTTTATTTTTTACATTTTTTGTGTGAAATCGATGCGTGTGTGTGTCCGTGTGTGTCCGTTTGTGTGTGTGTGTGTGTGTCAGTAAGACAAATGGCTACAGAGCAGGAATAGTTATGAAGGAAGAATACTGTCAACATCCATCTGATTTACTGCAAGAGAAATATATTTTTAATTATTTTGTAACATCAACATTTCACATTTTAGTGTTCTCGCAAAGCATCAGCAAAGTGAATAACAAAGTCAAGCTGTGCAAATTGACTGCTGCCATAATGTTTTATTTTTATTGTGATGAATATCATTTTTGTAGCCTAAAACGTATCGTTCCAAGAAAAGGGTTGTCATTTTGATATCTTTAGAGGTCTCTTGGTTTGTCTGGATCTCTGAATCTGTACTGAACCTTTTAAAACCATGTACTCTGCTGTACCCACATCCAAATATTATGTATTTCGTCAGCCGCAGCAGCATGAAGGGAAGGGTTTTGCCTGGTGTGGGGGAATGGTGTCTTGTCTCATGATGGTGTGAAGCAAATCTTTCTCCTCAGTCCAATATTTCGCCATGAGAGTGTGATTTTGAATTTCTACCGATCTAAAGTCAGTGTATGAACGGCTTCACGCAAGTGACACTACTGATACATATTTTGCCAAATAGAACAACCACTATTTAACCACTATTGACTTTATGTCATTGTTCTTATGCTTCAATGCACTTTTAAACAGCATCAGATCATAATCAGATTATTGTGACTTTATGTATGTAAGTTTAGGGAGGGAGGTTTTTATTGGACTACAGCTGATTAGATTTGCCTGTTCTTAAAATGCAATTGATTTCCTTCCCAGCACTACACACAATGTAACAACAATGTGGATTTTTTTTTGCAGTTTGAATAACCACTGTTTCACGCATATCACCGACAGGTCATGTTAATATTGTTATTGTCTTATATGTAAAAGAGAATATTGTTTACACTACTACTTCATAGTAAAATCAATATATAATTGGTGTTTACATACTCTCAAAAGGTCACACATTTAACAATTTTCACATTGTCTTGTCAACTTCAATAAACCTGTTTACCATTCTCTGAAGGAAGTTTGTATTTCCTCTATCACACATAATAAAGTGCTCTATCACTACTTTTTGTATAGAGGTCACCAGTACAGTCTTCTGATGGTTACACCATTAGTGTGGTCTGACTAATTTATTATAATCATATGTTGAAACTTTTCTATTTATACCTGCACTTACTACACACACACACACACAGACACACCCCTGTTGATTTCAACAGACGAGTCTGTAACAGTTCATTGTAGTAGTTTGAAAGACTGACTTTTAACCTTAATGATGAAATTTTTATTGCAACTCAATTTTCTGAAATGTTCTTCTGTCAAATAATATTATTGTTGTATGCTAATAGTGGCTGATGTAGCCTCAAGCTGCAACCCTCAAGTAGAGATACAGAGCTCCTTAAACCCACTTCTTTCTCTACACGCCATTTTTTTTTCAAACTGTTATCTAGCCCCAAACAACACAGCCTCAAGTTACATTAGCACTCATGATGATTATAATGCAAGTTCACAGTTTTGAGTTGATGCTGCTGACTTATTAAAGTCATAAGAGACTAACTTTGTGGTTGAAATATTCTTGTATAAAAATGTATAGATGCAAATTATGGTCAATCCATGTTCTCCATTTGTATGAATGCTTGTTCATCTATCTTTATTCAGGGAGGAGTTTTGTTGGAAATACCTATATTTGCTTTTTTGCAGAGAGATGCTAAATATGAAACTACAGCGAGCAGGTGATTAGCATAGTTTAGCATAAAGACTGAAAGCAGAGGACAGCTAGTCTGGCCGGAGTGGGTGGAAGAGGAGTTCAGAGAATCAGTACTCAGTCATTTTTGCACCTATAAATTTAATCTAATTTTGGCAAACTTTCACTTTCACTGGCCAGAAATTCTCATTATCAGCATCCCGAGGAACTTTAGCCTAACTTCAGTAAGGTGGTTCAGTGTTCAGTCACATCTCAGCATGGAGGTCCTGGGGTCAGATCTTGGAACTGATTCTTTCACATGGATTTCCTTCAGATTGCCCCCACAGTCCAAACCATGCAGCTCAGATGAATTAGATAACCCAGGAGTCAAGTAAATGGGTGCATTTCTGCAGTCCATGACACATACAATCTCTACGTGGATTTGTCCTCAATTACCGGGTTAAAGTGTACTTTGGTTCTCTGCAGATAAACTTTGACCTCGGCTGTCATTATAAAACTGATAAGTTCCACTGTACAAAGACGTCTCCGTCGCTGGCTCGGGCACTGACTTTAGCTTCTTTGCCAAACCACAGCCTCTGTCATTAAAGCAGCAAATTGGAGAATTAATCATTCATATCTATGAGTGTAACTCCTCCCCAACTCGATCAAAGCCTTTAATACAAGTGGAACATGGGACAACACATCAGCCTCGCCACAGAACAGCTTCTCTCTTGAACTTGATCTGCAAACAGCATGAGGACTCTTCAGGAAAGAATCATTGTGCTCTCCATTTTCCTCTCTCTGATCTGCACCATTCAGGTAAGTTAATAACCCTGCACTCACTCTTCATGTCCTGAGAGTTTGCCTAATCTTTGTCCAATCTTTGTCCAAATAGAGAACATAATGGTTTTTGATGGCATTTGATTTTATCACCGTATATCGTGAGGGTCATCACATTTCTTATATTTGTCCCTACAGGTGAATTCTTTACCTGTACCTCAAGACTGGAAGGGTATGCTCCAACGGACCAAGCGGTCACTCCTGTGGCGCTGGAACAGCATGAAGCCTGTGGGTGCCAGCTGCAGGGATCACCTAGAGTGTGGTACAAAATACTGCAGGTACAGTAGAGCTTTTCAGTCATCAGACAGTTGGCACATATATGAAACTCAAACATTTTCAGTCTGCATTCACAGACAACAGTCAGATTGTGTTTCTAATAAATGTCATTTTAGGGTTTTTTTTTTTTACTTTAATATCTGTATTTCTTAATGTCATTCATGTGAAACTAGACATATTCTTCCAAACTTCATATAATGATATTAAATATACATAATGTTCACAGACTTTCTGCAATAATATCTCTCTGCCGTCCACGTGTATTTTGCATGACATGGACAAAGTCAGAAATTAATGACACTGCAATAAAAGTTGCTCCTTATCTTTACAGGAAAAATATCTGTTCTTTCTGGAATTCCACCTGAAGACGAGACACGCAAATATAACTCCATCAGGGCGACTGTCTACAAAACAAACATCTGCTTTCTGCACCAAAAGCAACCTGTCACTAAATGAACCCTGTATGAAATTACTGCTCTGATATTCTGGCTTTAAACTGAAGACCCGCTGGCACTTTATCAGACTCTGTGCATTTGAAGTTATCTGATCTGAGTTGGCACTGCAGCAAAACAAAGTCATAAATGCTGAGTTCACACGATGAGTCAAATGGCTGCATCTAGAGTGATATTCATTTTTAGAATTTAATTTGTCTAAAACACTAGCGGGACGTCGGACAGGCTGTATAAATCTATGTTTTTAATAAGAAAATATAAATTTTCATGCAAAGTTTTTTGAGGTGCTCTGAGTTTATTGGTTTATGTTATTATTATATATTTATTTGTACATATTGTAAACCATGTGAATATTCAAATATACTTCAGTTTTTCAAGAGGTTGTATTGCCCACATTTTGTTTGTCAACAAGTTCAGAACAAATTAAAATAGCTCCTAAAGCTGTTTCTACTTTTTCAGTACAATGGGAAAATATGATAAAAACGTGGATTTTCGTTGGTAAAAGAAGAAAAAAGTGAATTTATTTTTTAAGTACAATTAAATATTTCTGTATTTATTCATCCAAGGTCATGTGATACTGTGATTCTTAACTCTTCATTGACCAAGGGACGAGCTTTGTCTCACTGCTTTTACATGTTTTGAGATATTATTCATTTTTTATTGCTGTTTTTCCATCAAAAGTGCCTAAAAATCTACAAATAAATACATATAAATATTACCCATCTGTGTGGAAAAATAACAGGAAACTGGATATAGTTACTGTGTCAAAGGTCCTTGAATTTATAATAAGGTTGAGAATTATGTGGATTTTTTGGACCATGTTAATATGGCAAATTATTCGTAGTTCAGTGGTTTTCAACCTTTTTGATGTCAAGGACCCTTAAATTCAAATTCATCATCAGACTGCAGACTTGTACTTGTTAGAATGTAGGCTCAGGGGGTCATCCTTATACGTTCTCTCATTGGGCAAACCTTTAGCCAGTAAAATTATTGTTGAATTAAAATACTGCCCCTTGACACCCTGTCAAGGACCTCTGATATCTGACCACTGCAGTGCTAATGTTTGTGGCATGGTAGGGATATATAGTATGTTTACATACAATAATACTCTGGATTATATCCCATATAATCCCCTTCTCCCAGACATCCTCGTTCACACCCAACAGGCCTTGAGGGACGCTAGAGTTGCATGTTCCCAACCCTGTCTCTTGGTTATTGAGGATGCCTCTTTTGATACCCACAGAACAACACTACCACCATGTGGATTATGACTTTAGGCGTGAAGTTTACCTACACTACATAACAGGGGAACAACGTGATACACATACTGTACAACCGCCCTTGAAAAGGGATGCATAAACAGCTGAACACTCACTGCTCATTTTTCGCCACTAGGGGGCGAGCTGAGCCAGGTTTAATGAGATGAATGGACCACCAGCACATTTGTGATTGAACAAACTGCAGTATTGTATGAAATAATTATTACAGCAACAGCATTTATTATTATTATTATTATTATTATGACCATTCTTATTATAAATCTTTTTCTCTGAATACATTTATGTATATTTTAGATATAATAAAAGGATGAAAAGTTAGGAATAAGAAGAATCTCATTTGAGTAATATTATAGCCATAATGTTAATTCAGCTTAATGAATAATAATGAATATTTTTTCTATACATCACAGTTAGTGTTTCATATTTGTGACTCATCATTGAAGGATACAAAGTCATAATGTTATACACTGTGTTAAAACTACAGCCTACAGTGATGTTTATTTTTATCCTTCTTATTATTATAAAAAAAACAAACACAGGCTTTATTAATAACCTCTTCCCTTACCGGATACTTTGAGTCTCAGAAGCAGCTCCTCATTGGCTGAAGCCGCCGTGACGTCACCCCTCCGCCGGTGCTGAAGCGGCGGCGTGGAGACCGATGTGTGTGTTTGTGTGTGTGTCTGTGTGTGTGTGTGTCCGGACCTTCACCGTCGGACCGGTTTTATATTACCCTCTCATATAGTTCTACATTCCCGGGACAGCCCGGTTAATTTTACCCCGCAGGTATCCGGTAATAGAGCGGAAAATATTAGCTTCCTAATGCAGCTTTGACGTCAAAGGTGCGTCGACCACTCGCATGAATTTTTTTTTTTATATATTTTTTTAGTTTAGTTTAATGATTTTGGACCAAACCTCGTATTCAAATCAGAGTCACCTGGAAGATCACCTGTGACTGACGGCTGTCAGGTAGGCGTTAATGTCGCGAGGAGAGTCGTGATGGATGCGCCAAATGCACGAGCGCCTGTCTGTTTTATGTGCTTTTAGCTACTTTGCCTTGAAGTCAGTTATCCAGTTGTATCTTGATGCTAATCTTATCTTACTTTATATATATGCGTGTGTGTGTGTGTGTGTGTGTGTGAAAGCGAGAGAGAGGTGCTGCTTCTGTCATGGCTGGTTCTTCTGGCTTCTGTATTCACTATATTTTTCTGTCTAACATGTTTTCCCACTTCAGTCACTTTGAATATTTCATTTTCATTATGAAAACCAACACACACACACACACACACACACTCCTGGCTACACAGCACAGTGACCTTCCTCTTCTGTGTGTGCATATATGACTTTAACTTTTTAATCATCTGATCCTGTTGAACCATTATTGAGTTCTTACTGGAACTTTTCCTCTCCTGAATACGGACCAACATGGGGCTGTAATGATGTTGTCTCATTACAGAGCCGCATCACTGATAACGAGCAGCAGCATCATCTGAGTCTGGTTTTTTTTTCCCCGAAGCGCAGCAGCAAAAAAAAGGGGGACCTCGCTCAGACTCTTTGCTTTCCCAGGACCACCACAGTCCCATTCCTCACGCGAGAGGGTTGACTTGATCCGACAGACATTTCCGGCATAGTTCAGTTAATCACAACCATCTCGGTGTGCTCCAGTTCCCAGAGGACAGAGCTGTTGTGTCGTAGAAGTTAAGGGACTAGAGTGGTATCCGCTTTGCAGTGAAATTGTTTGTCCTCTGCAGACAACTCGTCAGTCACACTGGCCTACTTCCCTGTGGTATTGAACTGTTGAACTGTTGAAAATAAGCAGGGACAGAATAAATCAACCGTTACATCACCAGAGATATTACTCTTAAGAACCAAACGGGGGACATGTTGATTTAAAGTGATCAGCGGGGCTTCCTCCACAGAAATGGATGTTAAGTTTATGATTTACAAATTTACTTTACCAAGTGATAATGTGTTTTTAGCTGAAGGTAGAAATCAGATCCAGGAGCAGTTGGGGATTCTGTGTTCTTGCTCAAGGACGAAACCCCCACCTTATGATGGAGGGGTCCTACCTGCTCTCCCTCATGAGCTCTGCTGTGCAGTTTCGCAAATAGGTGCCAAACAATACTTCCTTTTTTTGTAGCTTAATGAATAATTACATTTAAATATACAATAATGCAGTGTAGGTGGATCTTTTCTGGAAATACTAGACTAGAAATAGGCCGACTATATGACATATGCGTAATAAATGAGTGTGCTAAAATAAAAACCTGGCTCTGGTGATGCAGAATAGAAATATAAGTATTGTAAAATTCTCTATCTATATAGTTCCACAGAAAAGCCACATCCACTTTATCTATTGATCAGATGTAAATCTGACTGCCATTGCTGCACTAGACTGAAATTGCCCCGACGTGTTTATACTGACGCTTAGCCCAGAACATCTTGACCTGTAACTTCCAAACCAGTAATCATCATCACTGGGTGAATGGAGATGAAGAGAGGCTGACCCTTCTGATTTAAAATAGTGACTTCAGCAGCCAAACAGTCGGAGCCTAACAGAAGATGTGGCCCTGTCTTTAAGGAGCTCGTTAAGTAGTTCACAAATGATTCTACCAGCTTTAAAAAGGAAGATGAAGAGAGTACTCTGCCAGCCTTTAATGGCACATTTAGCTGCAGAGGAACATGCATAATTCACATTATTCAACTACATAAAGTGTCATCTGGCTACAATTTCTAATGTAACTTCCCCTCTTGGTTCTGTTTTCGCGTTAACGTCGCACCATAAACATAGATTAACCCAGTTTATTAGGGATGGTATTTCTGATCGGGTGTTTACTGTTTGTTGCCATGGTAAGGATGTTGTTTATCGTCGCGATGTGATGATAAAGAGGATTACCTCTTCATGGTCATCAGGTCCAGACAGTAGCACAACAATCTGGCATCTCTGGACTGATGGCTGCCTGACGTAGAGACATAACAAAGCCCGAAACAGAGCTATGTTACACTGCTGAAGGCAGATATTAGTAAATGCTGCGTGGTTCTATCCCTAGCAACATTAATTATTACTGATAACTTCAATGGATTATTTAATATTCATTCACTTTGATTTCTTTGTCTCTCCAGTGGGTAAATATTATATGTGCAGAGTTTACAGAGGGTTTGTAATTACTTTTTTTTTAAACTTAGCAATAGTCTGATGATCATTATAATGCTGCCTGGTTCCTGATGTCTGTAAAATCAGGAGCAATGAGCACGAATATGGGAGAACACGTTGAATTAACTAAACTGATGTGAAAATGTATTTACTCTTAGCAGTGCCAGCGGAGCATCTCTGCAGTGCAGCTGCCCTAGTTACAGAGCAGCTGAGTAACTGTGAGAGACTGTGGTTGGCCCGGGCAGGGAGAGGAGGAGTTTATTAATGGTTGACTGAAATATGGAGGGTAGGCTGTGCTGAGAGCCAGGAGCAGGCAACAGAGTAGGACTTTGACTGGAGGAACACTGACAGCAGTAGCTTGCAGTTGTATTTTATGTTATTCTTTTATCGTTTCTGTTCTGTTGGGATGTTTTTAAGCCCAGAATTAAAGACACGTTTTTAACTAAAATCTATAATTAGGTCCCTGAGCGCGGCATTACAGCAAGAAAGGCCACTGAGGGCATTAAAACTGAGAAAAAATCAAGAAGCAGATCCACAGGGAGATCAACATAAACACTTTGTATCTTTGTTGTTGCATACAATCTATCCAGCTTACTTTAACATGCAGCATTAAAACACGTCTTATTGGTCCAACTGTGCTAAATATAAAGTCGAATACTGTGTTCAGCTTTAATGTTACAGGAACAGTTTGTCATAGAGCCAAAACAGCTGTGACTTATTTCATGCATTTATAATTCTCTTTGGTATATTCACATTTAATGCATTTTTCACCACACTTTAAAAAACAAACTGTGTTCAAGTTCAGTACACAGTAGCAGTGGTAGTAACTGATTGTTGCATGTATTTTATATATCCACACATATAATCTTCCTCTGTACTCTTGCATAGATGTGAATCTGTTTCTCCTCCACTGATACCACATTCAAAGAAGATCCAGCGCTCTTATCAGTGATTGTTTTCTATTCTGTGCTTTCAGGGTTTAATTTTAGGAACATGGAGACAGTTTCCATGGACCAGCCTCCTCCAGCAGTATGATTGGAACATCCAGTCTCTCAGGGGACACCCTGATAGCGTGCCACTTCCCTGTGGTGCAGCTTCCCACTTGGCAACTTCCTGTCCAGGCCCTGTGCAGCTCGGCCAAGAGGCCTGGCCGGCTGTGCTCAGTGGGTCTGACCCGAGCTGTGTCCCTACCAGAACAAGACTCGCTGAACCGAGAGCATGCCTTCGCCGGTGGCCGTAGACCTTTTTCCAGCAGCTACAGTAGTCTCAATGAGGACCGGGCGGAGGAGGAGGGGGGCAGTGACAGCAGCGGGAGGTACGACTCCAACTCGTCCCCGGAGGAGACGAGTTCCCATCTGAAGAAGGAAAGCTCTGGAGCCAGAGGCAGCCTGCGGTTGCACAACTCATTCCTTCCCAACATAGAGCTGGATGAGGATGAGGAAGATGAAGATAGTGATGGAGGTAATCTACACAGATATCATGAGGACTCATCTTTTGTGTTGCATGGAAATTCCAACTGGCCTCTAAGTAATGGTGCCAGAAATTGTGTGTCCCACGGGAAGGTGGACAGTGAATGGAGCGACGAAGGGACCATGTTGGGCACTGAGAGCGACCGAGAGCGGCTCTCTAACCAGCCCAACCAGCTGGACTCACTGCACACTGAATGCCAGTGCTTTCATGTGAGCAGATCTGGCATCACAGCGTATGGAGAGCAGGACTCAGACAGACTGAAGGATAACGTGTCCTGCTGCATCCACCAACAACACAATTGTTTTCCAGAGCTGTTCTCCAACGGTCACGCAGAGTGTGTCAGCGACTCTTCCTGTAACAGTTCCGATGGCGTCTTGGTTAACTTCTGCACTATCTATAACAAGAGCAACAACCCTGCCACGCCTCATGACCTCAGCAGTCCTGCAGTTGATCCCTGTCAGGTATCTGAGGGATCTGTGTTCCTCAACCTCCAACCTGTTCCCAAGACTCCAGCTGAGGGCCTCCAACACCATGACGTGACAGTTTACTCTCCCTCCAAAGAGGAGGTTGACATGACGCCCTCCGCTTCCTGCTGGTCTCCTCAGGGCCTCGACTCTAACTGCAACCTTTACTCCCTGGAGCCGCTACCCCCAGGTCTCTCCTCGCTGGAGGTATCAGACCTGACTGCCTGTCTCCAAAGCCAGGCCTCATTGGCCATGGGGACCAACCAGAAGTACTACAAGCTGGTGACTTGTGACCTCTCCTCCCAGTCGCCCAGCCCAGCCTGGTCCAGCCACACCAACTGCCCCGAGGGTCAGTGCAGAAGTAGCCCCTTTCCGCCAGCTGAGCACCTCTTTGTTGATCATAAGAAAGAAGAACAACACATCGAAGTCAAAAAGGTAGTGTATAATAAAACAGCGTCTCTCCTACTACTGAATTAGATGATCTACTGTAGATAGATAAACATCGATTTTTACAGATTTGGTTGTATAAACCTAAGCAGTTCTCTTTTTCCTGTATCACCATCAGGAGAAAGAGGATCAACAAAAGGAAAAGAGCTTCTCCTCTGCACAGTGCAGCACCGCGCTTGACTGCTATGGGTTTCAGACCTATGATTACCAAGTTGCCACCACCTCCACTGAGAAAGCCCTCTGCAGGAAGAAACATACAGACAGCATCCAAAACTTCTCCCACACACCCTGTTCGCTGTGCCCCAGTCAGTGTAGCCCACATAGCAGTAAATGCCAAGACACAAGCGCTGCATCCACACAACCATCTGTGGCTCTGGACCAGGAGCACTGTGATGCTGCTGAGAAGGGTAAGGCAATAAATAATAGATTTTTTTTGTGTGTTGCTTGGTTTTATAAGTGGAGTGCAAAATACACAAATACACAGTGCCTGAAAAACATCTAACATCTGTTCCAACTATTCTTCTTCTTATACCATCCTGTGCCTCCATCTCAGGAGCATGTGCATTGGAAAATGCAGTGGTGCGCTACAGTAAGGCCCAGAGACCAACCTCGCTGCCCATCCAGCCCTTTGTCCTGGTCCCCGCAGACAAACCCCAGACCCAGCACTTGGGCTGTCTTCTTGAGCAGTACATGAATCAGAAGAGCAGCAAGTCTGGTAGCTCCCAAACAGGCTTCAAGTTCAAGGGCAAAAGGAGTCAATGCTTCTCTAATCTTCAGCTATCGCCAATGGGCAGCCACTACCCCGTCTTCCTGGAGGCTCCTTCGAGCTCTGATACTTGCTCCACTTGCACGCCGAGCCCAGAGTGCTTCAGCCGCAGGCACACATGGAGCCAGTCCAGCAGAAGCCAAGGACGCCCGAGTCCGTGTATATCGAAAAGCAGCCTGGATCCAACTTACATCAACCCAAAGCCCACACTGGTTCAGGTGCAAGATAAAACAAGCCCATACTCGTGCAAAACTAACACTTTTTTAAATCTGACCCCAGCCCCAAATCAGTCCAGCCTTGTTAAAATACACACCTACCAGGATCTTATTAACCTCACCCCTGAGCAGAGCCATGCCAACACTGAGCCCAAAAGTCCTAATCAATCCCAGGGCCACACCTCCTACCATTCCATATTCTCCCATACACCACCCACTTTGCCCCTAACCACTGACAGCCATCACCCAAACCTGCAGGTGTCCCTGTCTCCTCCCACAAGCTTACAACCAGAAAAGAGGTTCCCTCAGCACCGGGCCGCACCTGCAGCTGACTCTGGCATTTTTCACGGTAGTTTCACAGCTGCCTTTTCCACAGTAGCTCCTCTCTCCTCTTTGAGTTCCTGGCTATCTTTGGCTGCTTCTGGGCTGCACCCACAGCATATCCAGGACTCTGCTGGGCTCAGTGGGAAGCAGAGCCAGAGTCAACACAGTGAATCTCTGATCCTGAGTGACAGGCCGCCCACAGAGTTCTGCCTCTCACCCGATACATCTTATGAGTCCATGTCTATCAGCCATCTTCAGAGGAGAGGTGAGGCCATTGAATGACTGATACGCTATATCAGTTTGTGTAAAACATGATGTTACATGCATTATATGCCACACATTGAAGGCTGAATAGAGTCAAAAGTGGCCCAGTTGCAGTAATGACTGGATTCCTCCTTGAGTGTATTGTCTATTCAGTGATAAGCTGTTGAGAGCAGCAGTAAAAACTCACTGTGCTGCAGCAGTGCCTTCAATACCCTGAAGGGGCTTCCTCTCAAACATGACCTATTTTTAACTCTCCCTGCACAGGATTGGCCGAGCCTTCTGCTCTGTAGCCTATGTGTGTGCGACTGCAAGCTCCAAGAGAGGACGAGAGGGAGGATGATGCAGTAGAAACAGTGTTAATGATTTATAACACACCTAATCATTTTGTTTTAGCGCTACCATATGGGCCACTTGGTGCGAATATGATTACATAAATGTGTGCCTTTTTCGCTGGGTAATCATTGCTGGAGACATTTAGAGCACTGGTTAAGAGTCAGTGTGGTGCAGCACTGCAGGCGGCATCAACATGCATAAAGAATTTACCGTGACATTTGCTGAGGCTAGCCAGTAAGAGATGGAGAAAGAAAGTCAGGGGAAAGCAAGTCAATGAGGGTCGCTGCTAAAATGAAAACCTGACTTTTTCATCTTCAGTTCTCATTCACATTTGCATTCCTGCAATATAATAATTAACCCAGAAAGCATTCTCCCATGTTTTATATGCATTGACCCAGTTAGTGAGGTGAAAAGTATTTTTTTCTTTATTGAGTCTTGCTTTCTTAAAACAAGTTTTAAAAAAAACCTTCCAGTGCAATAACATAACTTCCACTTATTTCCAATACAAATCACCATGTTTAAGGAATTCTCTAGAAATTCTTTTAGTATCTTCAAACAAGACGGAACAGAAAAAATCACTTAAAAAACAAGTTCATTTTTACCAGAAACAATTAGTTAGTTAAACCCATCCCACCACACTAGCATCTTATTTGATGAAAATATGATGAGATGGGGGTTTTGCAAGGTAAGGTTTTTTTCTCTGCCCAAACAATGCTTGAAGCATTAATTACAGCTTCAGCTCGTCCAACCTCTTTCCTCGTCCATTGTCTCTAGGTTTGCTGAGGTCTGTGAGCAGGGCGGTGGATTTGATCATGGCTCATTTTGGCAGCAGCAGAGACCCCGAAGAAAAGGTATGAATTGGCAGAGCCGAGCAGCTGGAAAGATGTGTCACAATGGAAAAGTGCCAAACTGAAATTACTTACATTCTTGGACTAGAGTCAAATTACTTGTGTCAGCAGGAAATACTCTACATATTTCTCTCCTTCTGCCACAGATGCGTTTGGGTAACAGCTCTCGCAGCCCCACAATCGCCGGTCTGGTCCTGGAACATTTGTGTCCAACGATTCAGAATATTTTAGAGGACGGTCTTAGGGACCACAAACTGGATCTCATCATCGGGCAGCGTCGCAACCACTCCTGGAGCGTGGTGGAAGTCTCTACTAGGATCGGTAAATGTCACCAGTGATCATGATTCAAGGGAAATAAATGTACTTCTGCATCAGTTTGCCAAGCAGATGGCTGTGGCTTGGTGCAGCAGCATTGTTTGTGGTACATTGTGTGTTGTGGGCTCTTTGATCAACTCTGTTTGGTCTCTCTCCAACACTGCGACAGGTCCATCCACCAAGGTCCTTCACAGCCTGGTCTCCAAAATCAAACTATGTCCCCAGCTCACCAGCCACTGCATGAGACTGAGAGCCTTCATCATGGGCCTGCTTAAGTAAGTACCAAAACTACCTTTGATAATACTTATGATGCTAACAAATGGTAATGCACATGTAAGCATTTATCTTTCGTTGGTTGTTTGCTCTCTTTCAGCTTGAGAGCTTTGGAATTCTGGCTCAGTCACCTTCAGAGTCAAAAAGGTGAGCGCACAGTCAATATACTGTACCTTTTATTTTGGCCACACAACACTGCAGCAGCGAGGTACAATGTCAATGACAATGTCGGTGGGACAGTCAGTTGGTCAGTCAGTTTGACCCACGCTCAAATATCTGAACAACTATTGATTCATTTAGCACCTCTATCAGGTCAAAAGTGTGATTCCAATACTTACCAACAAGCTATTGCATATGTGTGTGTCTTTGTGTGTTCACACCCATTACTGTCTCCTCAGATGTGGTGACGACATACTACCATTCTTGGGGGTTCCTGTCCATGTCACTGAGTCAGTGTCAGCCCTTGTTTCAGGAGCTGCTACTTCTGCTGCAGCCGCTTTCTGTGCTGCCCTTTGACCTCAATTTGCTCCTGGAGCCCCGACTGTTACGTAACAGACAGCTGTGTTCAGAGGAGGAGGGTGTTTCTCCGCCTCCACCTTGCTCAGCCCTCCTTGTGACCAGCTGGCCGTTACTGCAAGCTGACAAAAAGGTAGACAGCAGCCGCAGCGGTCAGCAAACTAAGGTTTCACACGAGACACATCTGCAGCACCAAGAGTGTCTCAGTTCTCAGAATTTCATCAAGCAGGATTGCAGCGGGATGCAGAACAGCAGGAGTCCATTGTTAGCTCCTATTCCAGAGTGGTGGCCAAAAGAGTCTGACCTTATGGGTGGTGTGGTTGAAGGGGAGGACTGTAGCCAGAATAATGCAGATACTTGGTCTCAAATAAGTATGGACAGCAGGCAAGAAGAGAGGAGGGGACAGAAAGACAATGAGACCCCAAATGCATCAACTTGTGTCCAGGCTGAGAGTCCTCAGGGTTGGCTTCGCTGGGCCAAACTGTTTGGAGGAGCTGCTACTACCACCAGGACAGAGACCGTTTCTCAGAGTCACACTGGAGCACAAACCAGAAGGTAGAAACCAGCATTGAGATCCTGTTGTTTGACTTTCACAATACTTCATATTATGTTTTAAAACTCATATATATTACCTTTAATCTTGGTTTTTTTTTTTATTTGTAAGAATATGATCTAGACTGGTGGAAGACCAACACTGAAACTCAACTCGTAACCAATAACTCTTTATAATTGCTTTACAGGCGACCATCACAGTGGCTGCATTTGGACAGATCACAGCTGGGACTATTGGCTCAATCCATCAGGTCAATGAAGCTAGGAGGAGCTCAGACTGACAAGGACTTCTGAAAACTAAGTGGAGGCTATTTACTGTAATGACAAAAGACTCTTAACTGCATGATCATACAAACACAGTGCCCGATCACACTGCTAAACTGATCAGAAAGCACATGAAACACAGGAGTAACAGCTTTGGCGATGGTCCGCATTCATCAAGTTTTGCGTTGCACCAGCTATTCGTGAATGCATTATTAAGTTTGTGTGTCCTTTGAGTTTCCAAAGAAATCCGGTTGGACCACAATAACTTAATTGTTTTTTATTAATAATTTATTATAATGTGTCAGAAAACATCTGTAGCCCTGTCCAATCTAAAGCAAACAACTTTGTCAACAGGAAGTCACTGTAGCATCACTAGCTGTAGCATAACTGCCAGAATGAACAATTTTAGGATCCAATCTAAGTTTAATTAATAATCTTTTGTACATGATGGGTATAACTGTGTGCACACATGGAGAAATGTGTTTAGAGTTAGTAGTATTTACATAGTTTAGAATGAGTGGGAAATATCCGATTATGCTAATCTAACAGAGGCTAGTTAGCTAGACTTTTAGTTTGACGTTAGCATAACTTTTTGAGGTAACTTAAAATCTTACCAGGTTAAGTTATTATTAGAAAGCATTTTGATTAACTGTTGACCATATTTAATATTATCTCCTAAACAGGTCAGATATTAGCAGGCTAACATTAGTTTTGTCAGTGGGTTGTGTTAGCTAATGCTACAGTTACACCTTAAAGTTGGGTGTAAATATGTGAAGTAAGACCTAGTGTGTGGTGCAACCTGTTTTAATGTAGCGATGCACTCCACTTAGTAAACACTCGCCTGCATTATAACTGGGTTTAGCTTAAACAGCTGGTGCAACTGGCTCCTGGCGTAACAGCTCCCAATCTCAAAATGTCCCTTAGTTGTAGTTTTATCAGTCTAACTTTTGTAATTTGTGCTCATCTTAGTTGTGTGATGAAGCCTCATGAATGCAGTCAGAAGATCATTTCCATAGTAGATCCTGAGCTCTTTTCCAGGAAATAGCTTGATGAATGAGGGCCAGTTCCCCATTTGCAATTGTTCTCTGGAATAATTGTAAATCGGTGCCTGTGTTACCTGTTCCTCTCCTTTGTATTGTATCCTGTTGGCGAATATCAATCACAAAATGTGAATATTGACCTGCTGTAGACTGTTGGATATTCTTGTGGTGCAATATATACATTTCTCATAAGTCACTAACATTGTCTCCATAGCTGTACCTTTCATCTATAGGTGGGAAAAAAAGTAAGCAGTACACTTTTATTAGTGCCAAATGTGTGACACACCAGCCCTGTGGATTGGTCAGTGTTTGCTTTCTTGAGCAAATTCCTAGCATGGATTAACTGTAGGTGCATGAGTTAATACAAACATACAGTACAGTGCTTCAGTACGAGATCTCTTAATTTCCCCTTAATGTTTTTATAGCTGTAGAGTTTTGGACATTTTCAGGTACTGAAATTTAAAGTGTGTGGTTGGTATTTAGTATGTCTTCCAGTGAGGTTTGTTCAGTTGCACAAATATAAGCCATCTTGTGGCTGTTTCAGGTATTTCAATGTGTGTCAGGTATATTTTGATAGACTGGTGGTTGGAGGAACGGAGAGAAAACGTGTTCTCTGCATTTGTTAAATAGATCATTTTTAATGTACCGCAATAATGTGACGTCTGTGAAGTTATTCCACCCAGCATCATTTTCTCAACCTCTGAATGCTTCCTCTAAAGCCCAGTGACAATCAAAGTCTGTCAATAAAGACTTAACATATTTGTTTTGTCTTCTTCTCCTTGTAAGCTGTGAAAAGTACAAATGCTTATTCGTGTGCCAGATATTATTTCCAATTCAGCACAAACTGATAAATAAGTTCTTACACCATTTTATTGAAGTGTATGACGTCTTTATGACCGAACGGTCCTCTTGATGCCGCTCTTTTCCAGTGCATTCTGGGAAAGTTGACCAAAGGTATGTCCATACATAAACTGGTATCCTATGGGATAGTGTGGAGTTAGACATGCTTGAACTTGTAAACACTGGCAGAGTGATTATAAAATAGCTGATCACGAGGCTGACAGACCTGGGATGTGTCCTGTGAATGACGGGACCACGCCCCTGTTTGATTGATAGATCTTGGGCATGGAAGTTGTGCTCTCATTTTCCCCGGGGATGTGTAGGAATGTGGGGTCATTTCGCTGCTGCTTCCCAAACTGGATCAGTGCCTGGTTGGTGGTGATGGGGTAACTTTTGCCAATTAAGAAGCGAGATTTTGGCACATGCCCTGTAAAACCTGTAAAAAGAAGTGAGTGTTTTAGCAATTTTCTGGCAAAGAAAACAAGTGTAAAAGCCAGCATCAATATTATATATTAACCTAAATAACCATATGTGCAATATGAAAGGGATAATTTAAAATGACACTAGTGAATATCAACTAATTTCTGCAGTTCAGCACAGCATTTTAGTCTGTTAGCTCCTTGTTTTGGTTTTGTCTGCGGTTTCTTTTCCAGCCACAGCAACCAGCCGTTTTTAGCAACAAAAAAAGCTCTTAAAAACCCACTGAACTCTACCTGCCAGCACCAAACTGCAGATACACAAAGCAGCTAAAGAGGCAGATATTTTTCTTCTTCTAAAGTGAATGTTACTTTGTATTTGTCAGGAGTCCAATGGGATGATACTGTTGCATCTGTGTTTGATGGACATGTTCACAACTAATTGTGACAACAAACTATTTTATAAGCCAATCATATTTCAGAGGTGTACATCTGTCATCTTATTGTGGAGTTTTTCTACTTCTACTTCTACATCTATATGTAAGAGTTTGCTTTTAGTGGCTTAAGAGCCAGATATCTTCTTCAGAAGTGAGTTGAGATCAAAACAAGAGCTAAAAGCAGAGTGAAACTTGTCTCCAACTGCTGTTCACAGCATTTTTCTGCTGCCAAAAAAAAGATTTAAGGCCAATTACACTTGAGGAGAAACAGCTGTTAAAGTTGTCTTTGTGGTACCTGAGATAAAGTACTTGTGCGGGTCATCGTCATCCATTAAATATGGTATTCCAGGGGGGGTGAAGGGCTTCAAGGGCTCAAAAGAGAGCACTTTGTTGGAGATTACTGTAGAAGTGGGTTTTGGTTTCTGGGCCAAAAGATAACAGAGAAACATTAAAACATACAATGACTCTTGTCAGGGTCAGAGGTCATACAAACTATGACCAAACCTGTGTATAAGCCTCAACAGAAGGTTTGTACAGGAAACTACATAGCATAAAATACCAAGAAAAACACAGATTTAATGAAAACCTATTCCAGTAAAGGTTCAGAGAAGTGAATGGAAATTTGTGCCATAAGAATATGGATTATGAAGCTGATATTTCCTCTTAATTATCTAAAAGGGTTAATTAATGTGAATCTCAGAGACATAATTAGTGAATCTGTGGATAGTCCTTCTGGAAAGCTCATCAGTTTTACCTCTCAGTCTTTTTTAGGGTGGATTACATTACAGTGAACTGACACTGGAGTTCCACTATGGATAATTAAACAAGTGTGTACCTATTCAGAGGCGCCATGTCAACATGTATGTGTATGTGTGTGTGTGTGTGTGTGTGTGTGTGTGTGGACAATATAGTGAGAGGGAGAGTGATAGAGCCAGAGTGTGTGTGTGTGTGTGTTACTTCAGAATGTTGGTTGGTGTAGTTCACAACAGGTGGCAGTGCTGTTGATTGCCGTTGGATCTTCGGACGCCCTTCTCGGTAATACTCTGACATCGCTTTACGACATGTTTCAGAATAGCTGCAGGCAAAGTAGTTCTGTCTTTTTGGAATGAAGCCTGAAACAGCAACAAGCATGAAGAACACTAAAGTAATGCATCTGAAGTTCTTCTGGTGTCTAGCCATGGAGATAGTTTTGGTTTTATTCGCTCAGGTTTTGAGATATCTGTCTCTGGGATTACTGCATCCACTCAAATGGAGGTGAATAGATATTTGTGCCAGGTGTTCTTTCCAGAAACAGTGTCTCTGTTACTCTGGATAATACACAGAACAGTGGCGGACTGTTGGAGGGGGCAGGGGCAAAAAGGTATCATTATTATTATAAATTAGGTATTTATGGTGAAACAATTTAGTCAGGGTTAGGATTAGCTCCCTAGAGGGCACTTCATCCTTTTCTCTCCACTGAAAGGGCACCTGAAAGTGCACATTATCATGTTTTATCTACAATAAGGGCGTCTAAGGTGGCACATATATTCTTTTATACATGGCGGCACCTGGGGGGCTGAATCCACAAGTGCCACAGAACAAAGAGACTATTTCTAATGCACAAACTATTTCCAATGAAAAGAGATCACAGTGATGTCTGTGGATTATCCAAAGTAACCAGGACTTTGCTTTTTATGTTGTGATTGAAAAAATAGAACAAATAAAACCAAATCAGAATATATATTGGTGAGGAAAGTCAGAACACATAGTGTGTTTTTTTTTTTTTGTAATTTGGGTGAACTGACCTTTTTTTCTGCCAAATATTTCCACAGAGTTTGAAAAAGCAATATCAGCATTAAAAAAAAAGACCTTTTACTTTGAAATCGCCACTGGACTGCTACACTGCTACAAATATGGCTGTTTGGTCTATGTTATCTTAATTTTCAACACTGTTCCACTTCATTAGTCAGTTATACTTAATAATTTAACAAGTGGACAGAGATTATTCTCACGTTGTCATGGTCTTGTGAAAACTCACATAAAGGCTTGTCGTCTTTTATTATTGTGTATTGATCTTATTAACAACTTGTACAATTAAAAGTGACCCAACTTTGTACTAGTTTTTGTTCCCAGTATAAAATAATTTTCCATGAGGGGTTCAGTTACCAGGTGTTGACCCTCCCCCCTCCCTACTAACACTAGTGTGTGATACCTACCTGTGTATCCTGGTATCATCTTCAAGTTACTGTCAGGGAGGGTTCCCAGTGCCGGAGCAGGGTCGGACTCTGTGGAGGGGATGAGACCCGTGTGGAGGACCAGACGATTGGAGTGTCTCACTTTAGGACTGGTCAGCAGCTCGGCAGTGAGCTGGCCGTAAGACTTCCCCATACTGTACTTCAGCTGTGGACAATAGCCTGCATACCTGTAAACAATAGAGTCTGGGGTAAACAATCTCCAGCACCTGTAGTGCCTCAGCTTCAGAGCTGGAAACAATAAGATAGCATTAGTTAAATTTATATGTATATAAACTTATATATATCTACATTTAACAGATTGAACACAGAACTATGTAGAGGGGAAATGCTACTTTTACTGTTACATTATCGTCATATTTTGTTTGGATACAATAACACAATTGTTTTATCCCAAAACTTTACTATTGTATTAACGTTACACTGGCTTTCACAAACCAACAGTACAAACAATAACACCAACAGATAAAGCTGCAACAATACCATATAGCCTAGATTTAACACTAACTTACTCGGACCAAACTTTAATCAAATCAATAGATACAATAACATTATATACGGTATATATTCATTGTGATTTCTGTGTTTATATATTTTATATATATAACATATTATTTGACATGTTCCTGGTCTCCTGGCACACATAAATTGAACAGTAACAAGAAGAAGCCCTGCGCAGTCATGCAACACTATTATTTTACCTTCAATATCAACATAAAATGGCTATGTCAAACCGACTCTCGTGTCAGGAGGCTTGTACTTACCCCGGTATATAATGTGGATCAGGGGTGACCAGAACTTTGCTGAATTTAGGGGCGTATTTCTCCATACTGGTCCCACAGGAGGCTGCAGCAGGTCGCCGGATGACCGCGGTGTTTGCTGGTTGCTACAGAGAATAAAACACAAACATTCTGATGGAGCTCGATGACTTTAAACTGACGTGTAAAAAGAGAGCTTTTTTTTTCTCTGTAAGGACACAAATACTGTTGTTTGCTATGAGACCTGATACTGTGGTAGTGGAGGGGATTTTACATTTTGTGGCAGATAAAATACATTTCTAGTGCGTGTAGCTCTCAGCGGTCAGTGGTGTTCTGTGACAGACTCACTAAGTAACACCTCTGTGGAAGTTCAGAGAGCTGAGTGCTTTATTTCTGTATTAACATTCATTATCTTTAATTCGTTTTTTATTTAATTTAATTCAGCTAAAGGACTAAACATGAAGAGTGTTAGAAAAAGAGGAGGGTGTTGTTGTTCAAAGTGACTTTTTGAATAAATACATAGATGCTCAACAACGACCCCTAGCGACAAGATGAGGAACTAGTATTCTGACTGTATACTGAAATATATCAAGTACAAATACTGCTAAAATTAAATACATGAATAAAATATGAATAAACAAAGATAAATAAAAATGAATTAATAATAATTAATATAAAATAACTTAATAATTGTTATTTATTACCGTACAACCTGTAAGGAGGCATGTATTTTAAAACTGTTAATTACATGTTTTTAAAATTAAATATTTTTTTTATGTTTCAGTTAAGTGTTCAGTTGTACTTCTAGCACATTTGATTTACCTATTTAAAGCCGTCTCCACACTAGTCGTAGGCTAATAGACTAATACTTGTGTTTATTTTTTGTTTTGTTTGTTTTTGTATCATTTCCATTCCGTTTGTTGTTGTTTTTTTTTGTTTTTTGTACAGTAACTTTTCCCCTTAGCTGCCTCCTATAAATACAGAGGACATGAGCACAGTGTCCTCAGTTGTAGCTACGACACTGATATGAATGTGTGTGAAAACAAACTTGAAAAAATCTAAACCTATCCTTAAACACATACAGATAAATCAATTTCATTCCGGTTGGTCTGCTGAAAAGAACACATAATGACACAAAAGTGACCAAGTAGACTGGATGGAGGAGTAATTAAATCACAGTTAACATTCATCAGGACAACAACCAGACATAACAGGGAGCACTGACTCAAAGTAACTTTGTGAATGAGCCTTTGTGTTTGATCCGATTCGGTCACTGTTCACCTGGGGAATGTAGATGAAATCAGCAGACAGGAGTGTTCATTCTCCACATTCCTACTCTCAGAATAATTTCGCTGAAATGACGAAACAGCATTTCTTCTAACAGTTCCCCTTCTCAAACACACATACCATAAGACTGTATATCCAGTGAGGAATTTGGACATATTATGTTACCCCTCTCATATGCTCACACCCATGAACAAATAGGCTGTGTTAAAGCATGAGTTTTGTTTCCATCTCAACTTGTTGGAAAGTTTTAAATGGCAGGCCCTGGACTTGTTGTTTTATCTTTGATGGGATTTTACCTATCAGCATTTCCTTACAACACCTCTGTTGTTTCTGAGAAGACTAACTCAAGTTTCATTCCAAGTACTGTCTGTAAATACACAGATAATGTCACCGTGTCATGGCTTGTTCTTGTTTTGTCTTGGATTTCTTACATGTATGAGGACAAATCCAACATTTCACACTGCAGATGAGTCACTTTTTTTCCCTGGGAATTAGTGACAGGAAGGAGCAGGTATCAACATGCAGCTCCGCGCTGTGACAGGACAGATGCTAAAAGGATGGGCGTGGTGAAGAAACGGAGGCGGATCAGAGGGAATGTTTTGAATTCTGTATCATCAGTTCACCTCAGCTAATGACTGCGTGGGCCGTCCCAACCGGTGCTCATTTACCTGCTGCTGTTCAGGAGCAGAAGAAGTGTGACAAACAGAGGGCAAACGTGTGGAGATGAATCTATACAGGAGCTTTGGAAACCTCATGGAGGCCTGGGTGTCTGAAGGAGGCCAGTGTTCGGACTCAGAATGGCCTGGAAATAATGAGGAAGACTCTCCTACACCTTCCTCTGACATGGGGACCAACCTGCGCTCAGAATCGGTGGACTCTGGAGTGGAGACAGCCAGCTCTGACTTCTCCTTTCTCGCTACATCCTGCTCCATCTCAAGGGATAACGCAGAAATAGACACATTTACACCAGAAGTGGAAGGCGACAGACTCACTCCGGCCTCAACATCACAGTCTCCTGTGCCTTCCTTATCCTCCTCTTCCTCCCTGCGCCTCTGTCCCAGCAGAGCTCAGGAGGGCTCCGCCGCCTTGAGTCAAAAACTGGAGGAAGCATTACAGAGAACTGACTCTAAACACTTGAAGGACAAGCCAGAGCCGCTCACTGTGGATGAGGTGCTCAGGCGACGACCTGGAGCATCTTTTCTACCCAAGCGGCACACATCGGAGTTAGTGAGGGGTCAAAGGTCGGAGAGTTTTAGCATAAGGAGGACAGTCAAACCATCATTGCCTACGAGGCAGTTGTGCAGACGACCAATGTCTATGATTTGTAACAGGCAGCCAGCTCAGACAAGATTGGAGGTGAGATACTGTTTATATCACAAACCAAACTGTTCAAATATCCAAGAATTTTGCATTTCTGGAAAAGCAGAAAAGATCCAAAAAATGACATAATGTGTCTCTTTCTGTGCTTTTTTGGGGACCTGTTTCCAGATTACATACATTTCCCAGTAACATGTATGGTCTTGCACAGCTTTCACAGGGTTGTAAATGTTAAAGGAAGGCCTGAAAGAAAGTCCCAGAGGTGTGAGGCCTATACTTTGCCGTAGTTGAAGGGTTGCAATACACCAAGTTGCTCTCAAATGTAAAGTAGGACAGGCATGTCATTACTCATACAGGATCTCTTTCATGATGGCAACCCGTCACAAGTCAGTCTGCGGTGCAAGGGATCATAAACCAGTCTGCCCAGTTGACTTTACGCCCACAGGCATGAAAGGAATGGAGAGAGCCATGGAGGAAGTTGAGCAGAGTGTGGGGTTTTTGATAAATCCAGCAGACGCGTTATTAACCTTGATTTGAATTTTGATTTTAAGCAACAATGTGAATCAACATTGGAGACGTTCCTCTTCATATTTGCCACGAGTTAGTGTTCGTGCAGTGAAAATCCTGTCACGTTGACAACTCACAAAGGTGTTGAAACAAATAGATTCTTCATCCAAGTCGTATTCAATTACTGTAACTGTTGTTTTAGTCTTTGGGTGTGTGTGCACACTTGGTTCATGTTTTTTGAATGAGAGCCAGGATTAAAAGGCTTTGATGAATGCAACACTGAGAAGTCAAACAATGCCAAGTCGACGCAGTTACTCAATTATATCATTTTGCAATTACATGTGATTATATTTAAATTATCCAGCCAAACAAATCTGGATATTCTGACTTAACAGGTTGAGAATTTCATTGTTACATATTCATATCCTGATATTACAAATGTAAAACTCCCATACATCTATTCTTAGCATCATTTGGCTGATCTATATATATATATACATTATTATTGTTATTATTATTATTATATTACTCTCTAATTCTGTTCTTTTTTATTCAGTTCTAGTTAGTGCTGAATGGAGTTAGATTATCAACATAAAATGAATTGACGCAGTGTTTGATAGTGAACATATCATGTTGCTTTTGCTTTAAATGTGAGATTTTGCTACTTCTTTTTTTGTTTTACCTTGTTATACATTTAACATCTGGTGGTAGTAGGCTTGGGCTGTTCAATCTGTATACACTGTACTTTTATTCTGTCCTACAAGGTAACACTTTTCTTGCTCAATGTGCTCAATGATCTGTGCAGGACCTTCGTGAGGAGGAGGGGAAAGGACTGAGTCCCGGGCTCTGCTACTTGGAGCAGGTGTGCCAAATGTTAGAGGAAATTGCCAGAAAACAGATGCACAACCAAGCGTTGCAGATGGAGACGAATGCCCTGCGGGAGCATCAAGACATGGAGGTGAGCCAGGTGGAGCCATTCATGTATCGCCTCTTTGCAAGGGCAATTATGAAGTTGTCACAGTTTCCACCCCTGGGTTTATAAACATGATATGAGCCTGTCAAACTGGTGATGGCAAGATGCCATCTTGCAGCCGGAGGGTTAATACTGTATGAAGTAAACTATGACAGCATTGTGTTTAATATCACTTGGCTCTCTTTAAGGCTCTCGACGGCCATCAGAGTGACTCTAAAGCTGCTGAGGATGTCCCCTCTTCTTGTCGAAGGCCTGAAAATACAGAAAGTGTAAGGCTTGAAAAGACAGAAAGTGCAGAGCCCAGTTCCAGTGAACCACAGCGGCAGAAAGATTATCCTCACAGGCATTTTCGACAGAGATCAGCTTCAGACGCAACTATTACAACACTGCATTTAAGTGAGTCATAGTCCACCTGTTCCTTTCCATTTCCTCCATTTGTGTTGATATGATTTGTATATTCAATATATTATAACAGATTTTTCAATAATAATTGATAATAATATATATGAATAAAATCTTGTCATGTGTACTGTAGATAAATTATTGTATGTGTGTGCTTGGTACAGGAAAGTTGAATTTGGACTGCAGAGGGCAGCATCTGAGTACAGATGACCTGCTGCAGAAAACAGAGGACGACCGTGAAAAACAGGTAGAATACACTCAAAATACATATTCTGTAGTTAAGCAATAGACACAGTCCAAATACTGGCTAAAGCGTGTGTTTTTTTCTCCTCATAATCTTCTATTATTTTGGTTCAATAATATATGAATATTTTATGGTGTCTTTTCAGGAGCGTACAAAAGAGGAGATGACTAAAAGTAACAAGAACTGGAAGTTAAGATTTGGGTCTTTAGGAAGAGAGGAGTCTGCTGTGCAAGATGTAAAGAGGTGAGAAGTGTAACCTCTAAGGGGGGCAGCATTATTAATCTCATATGATGCATGATGCTCTGAGGAAATGTCTGTGCTACTCCAACATGGCAGCAAGCCACACCACGACGCAGTGGTCCAGAGCTAATGCACAGTAGCTGCTCAGATGCTTTGGTGGGAGTTCATTTTTCAGTCTGTGCCTCTGTTCCTCTTGAACATTTTGTCCCTTTTTTTTCATTAACCTTAGCTAACACACTTCCTCCCAGCTTTCCACAATGCCTCGCTCCAGACCTGTTTCATGAATTTTTTATCTATACAGCCAACAGATGCAGTCATCTGAGAAGAACTCAGCCCGGCGACGGTTTAGCCAGCTGTTCAGGAGGACCAGGAGGAAAACTCTGCCTGTATAAACCATGATGGACATTTTGGTTTCAGTAGTGAAGAGGAGAACGCTTTCCTTTGAAAGTCTGAGCACTGTTGCTGCTTTCAGACTGACATCTTATTCAGCCCATGTGATGCTGCCATGTTTATTTATTGTCTGCTATACTTGCCAATATTATTTATACTGATGGAAAGTACCATTTCCTATGAAGTTGTAAAGGGGAATGGAATTTCTCATAGCACTACAAAGCTTGACTTTAGAAACATTAAATTCTATTTCCCAAATCAAAGCTGCAAATGTAAATGATGCTGCTGTGCACTCTACTGTATATTACTGTGTATTACACTGTAAATATCATGCAATATAAATATAACTACCTGAAATTCTTATTCATTTTGTCTTGTCTTGGTGTACTTATATGAGAGAAACATATCCATCAAATACCCAAATGCACCACATGAAAGAACAATCTGACTATAGCCCGTAGTTAAATATGAAAATATATTTTAGGAGGCAAATATGTCAGCAACCATTATGGTGATCAATCCTATTAATCATTTAGTCAATAAAATGTCAGTTCAAAACCCAAATATAATCACTTTACAATGATATAAAGGTAGATAATCCTCACATTTGAAAAATTGGATCCGGTGAACATGAACAAAAATGATGATGTCTAATCAAACAATTCATTACTTATCAGAATTCCTGATGATGAATTTTCAGTTGACTGTGTTTGGTTTGTCCATTCTGGGCTACTGTAGAAACATGGCGGTTCAGCATGGTGATCTGATGAAAACACAGCGATTCTTATTTCCAGGTGATTATACACTAATAAAAACATACTTGTGAATATTATAT